AGAGAGAGAGAGAGAGAGAGAGAGAGAGATTAATAAAAATATCTAAACAATAATATATTCATAAATTTATAATTCAAAAATATAGTCATTATATATCATATTGTTATTATACAATATACATTTTACATTACATATATGCATTAGGTTTGCCATGATACACATTGATACTGGTTGTAAAATTGAAACTGATGCAACATTTTAAAGAGGGGGAAATGAAATTTGATGAAAGTTTATTATGTAAGAAAAAAGTGTGTGTGAAGTGATGCAACATATGAGCCGCGTAATAAGTCTTTATTTGTCCTGTATGCAGAAAAGTCTGTGTATAAAGTATTCAGTGTTGAAATGATGTAATTTCTCTGTGGGGGATGTTCACTCTGGGTTATGTCAGTCTGGGCTCAGGATATACTTGGCACATTTAACAAGCTGCTTTTTGGCTATAAATGTTGTTATCATAGGCTTTTTTCCCCCTTTTTTTTTTTGGCTGAGGAAAGCAGAGTGTTTGTTGTAACATTGAGGATGGTTGTTAGTGCAGGTTAGTTGTGTTCAGAACCAGGACGTTTGGCAGTGCTGAAGTGGGACAGAGGCGGGACGAGTCAGTGTTTCTGTTTTGAGTCTTCATGTGAGATGCCGTGAGTCAGCATCACAAAATCTCCAGTCATCACTCTGAGCTCAGCGTCCACCAGCCGTGTGTCCTTTAACCCCCACCGAACGGACGTCCTGCCACAGTCATTTCAGTCTGCGCACAGATTATGTGCATTTATGTCTTATTTCTACTAGGGAAGGGTCTGGAAGGGTCCATTAGTGAGTTTAGCTGATAAATTTGGGGATTCATTTAGAGACGAAACTTCTTGGAAGAGGCTTTTAGTGTGCTGACAGTGTTATATGTTGAAAATAACTCTAATTTATACTTATTTATATTTTATACTAATGTATACTTATATTAATTTACACTTTCAAGTGTGCAGAGGCAGTGTTTGAGTGTATATAATCACTTACTTTATATTTTTTTAAATATTATTTATATGATTGTTTATATATTATTTTTAAAATATTATGTATATTATGATGTTATGTTATTATGTATATTATTATATTATATTATGTTGTATATTTTTAAATATTATTTATATATTGTATATATTACTATTTATTAAAAATATAATATAAATTATATTGCATATATTGTTGTTACATATCATACTGTAGATCTGGAACTGAGGTTAACTCTTCGTAACTGGTTAAAAGCAGCACTAAGCACCTTTCAAAATGACAGTTGTGAAACATTCACACTAAACCTGTGATTAGGCATAAGGTAAAATGATTTTTTAGCTTTAGATTTGTGTCGTTCTGACTTTGGGCTGTAATTCTTGTATTATATGAATAATTTCTAGATTATTTGTGAATTAAGCTGAGTCATTCTCGTATGAAGACAAGTTTTTCTCTTTCTCTTTCTCATCTGCTCCATTACTTCATTATTCAGTTCATTACACACTTGAGCCATTTGAT